TTCGGGGTCAGGTCAGGGTATCTTCTCCCCACAATCAGTTGTCTGTTCAGATGTATAGAAAGGGGAACTCCAGGAAAACTTCATGCTATGATAAATCTGCAGAGGGAATAGCTGTAACTTATCTTCACCTGCTTTATTTTATTTATTTTTTTGGTGCACTGTCATGGGCAAATAATAGTATATTTGGTTGGTTTTGTAGCAGAAAATAAAGGCAATTTTATTATTTATTTTGTTTTTTAATAAAGGATAATGTGAATAAAAATAGAAGAACTTTTTGTTTTCTGGTATGTTCCCTACTTCAGCCTTTTTATCAACCAGAGTGCCATGGCAACCTGGGGTGACTTCTGGCTTCCTATTCTATTCTTCCTATTCCTACTCTGATGTGAAGGGGGGACTGAGGACTCTGATGTTAAGGGGGCTTCTGATATGAAGGGTGGGGAATACTCCTGACGTTTTGTGTTTTTTTTATGGGTGCCACCCCTTAAAATCCTTTACATTGTAGACTGGGATGCCTTGAAATTTTTCATGCTTTTAAGAGATGCTGTGACTGAAAAAAAGCTGAGAAACGCTGCTCTACCTTACCATTATAGCTGCATGTGTCCTCCTCAAGAAGTTGTTGCTAGAGTGGGAATGAGGTGGGGCTGAGAGGTGATTGCAGATGGTGTCCTGGCCATACACCTACACACTCACATACTTACATAAGCGCTCACCATAACATGCCTGTTAAAAGAAAAACACAATCATCGTAACTGGTGGACTCTCTTAGCTAAAGTGATATTAAAGTCAAAATGTTTTTAAGCCCTTTCAAATGTCAAGTCACTTACAGTGAATGCCGCTTTTTCGTGTTTAAAGGCAGAATCAACTGAGCACTGGAACTGATATCCTATTTTAGGTTGGCTGCTTTCCCTTGCATGGGTCCTATGGAGCCACCCTTGTGTGTGCTAGTAAAGTATGTGTCTCTACAAACACAGCAAGACAAGCTACTCCCCTCTTCTGCTTCCTTCCTTCTCCAAGCTAGTAGATGGACAGTTGCAGGAGACTGCTCTGTACCTTGTGGTCTTGTACTAGGCAGGGAGTTCAGGGAAGCCAAGCTGAGAGAATTGGAGCTGTTTGGAAACATGATGACCTGTAAGTGCTCGTGCAAAAATGTAAAGAAATACTTTGCTGGGCAATGTATATTTGATTGATCTGGATTAATTATTTTTAAAAAAGGTTAATACTAGTATAAACCTTCTGCAACATTGACGCCAGTGTGGGGCTATGTGGCAACAGCTCAACAATTGTGCCACTGGTTGCCAGGCTGGTTTACAGCACGGCATAGTAGAAGTGGGATCTGGCAGATACAGCCTTCCTCCATCCTCTGAATTCTTAAGGCTGGCCTGCTGGGGGAAGGCTGGGAGAGACAGTGATTGGTGCTACCGCACATCTACTCCTAGCCAGGGTATTTTTCTGCACAGGTTTTCCCACATGTGCTCAGAAGGCACAGTTCACCACACAATGCCACTTCTTGGCATGAAAACACTGTGCCCACTGTGCCCCTACGCACCATAGGACAATCCCTTTACCCTAATTATAAGCAGTGCATGCTGCAGCTAACAGAATCCACCGGAGAAGCGGTGTGTACATGGTAGCCTGAAGTTTATTTCATGTTTGGCTGTGCCTACATAACAGCTGAGAAAATATAGGGAATTAAGGGAGAGAGAGAGAGAGAATATATGAATTCAGAAAGTAAATGGCAGTTAAGCAGCCCAGCTGGGTCACCTCCCTGCCCCCAGGCTGTGATTGGACAGGGAAGGAGCAGCAGCAGACTAATGAGGTCACCTCTGGTCTGCCCTCCTTTGCTGCAAGCAGGATTACTGATTGGCCCTAAATGCTGCCCCTCCCTCTCCTGGTGTGAATGCTGCTCTTGCAAGATGCTGAAATAGAATCAAATTCAGCTATTTACACTAGTTGCTTTTATTAAATACAGAAGTGCATTTATTGTTTTTCATCTGCCTGGAGCTTGACTTTAAGATTACCAGTTCTTCATTATATTTAATCTACATTTGAACAAAATCTACCTTTTGCTTTTCAGCACGTATTTTTTATTTAATTTTTTTGCCAACAATAAGTGTTGTAGATTCTCACATTCCACTACAGCAACGTTTATAAAAGTCAATTTTGGAATGTGTTACTATAGCTTGGTTGCAGTTGCCTGGTAACATTTCCCATAATGCCCGTACAAAGCTTTTCACAGAATCAAGAGCTCATTAAAAATTTAATCTCTATACTGATTCTGACGTGTAGCATTTGCTCCAGCAGGCTCTTAGGTTCTCTCTTCCTGGTTATAAATCCAATAGTAAATATTTGTACCGGATTCGCTCTCTATCCGATGGGGGGGGGGGGGAATTCTTCTGTAATAGAGCTGAGCTTGGGATATAATAATTATAGGGACAGGCGGTTTCTCTCAATGAATGCAATGTTTCATCTTGTAGAAGGTTAGTAAGTAAACAGAAGATAATGGAACAGGGATTTGCTGCAGATAAGTTGATAGAAAATGTAATGAAACCAATGTATGTGTGTCACCTCTTCAGACTGGGATTCAGCACAGCTAACACTTTCCTCTAAATATTTTTCTCTCTTTCTTTTTTTTTGTAAAAAAAGAAATCATAGCATTCTAGTAATCCTTTCATATATGTGTCATGATGGTACCATTATTTGGACTGTGCTGTAGCTGTAGGATCAAAGCATATATTGGAAATGTCACTAGTTGGTGAGTCAATAGAGATGAGTTGATCTAACCTGGATATGTCAGATACCCAAATATTCATAAAGCATAGCTCAAGTCACTCCATTTTGAAGACCTTAAAGTGACACTTAACCCAAAAGTTAAATCTTAAAAATAAATTAACAAAAATGTATCTTATTTGTGTATCACACGGCTGTAGATTCTCAAATCCTCTCTGAATTGGTGCTGACACTGTCCTTCCTTCTGGAGGGTGGCTACTTTTGTTCCCCACGGTGCCTGGGTGTGTTAAAAAGTAGCCACCGCTCCCAGATCACTCCAGTGATGAACTACAATCTCATGTTTAATTTTCTCATTTTGTAGGGTTGCACAGATACCAAGTACAGTACTCGGTACGAGTACATGTACTGATACTTTTGAGCTCCAAGACTATACTAGAGAAAAATAAAAAAATTAGGAGGCAGCTGTCATTTGTAAGGAGCACATGGAGCTCCTGGGATTTGTACATCTCCGTTTTAGTGTATCATTTTGTTTTTATAAATATAAATAAAGGGATGCACAGATACCAGTTTTGCGAGTACGAGTACTGGTACTTGCCGAGTACTTACAGGTACGAGTACTGATACATTTTTGTTTATTGTCATGTGACAGTTTTTCTAAAACAATGCAGACTAATGATTTCAGGACAGTGGTGGAGTACCAGAGCCTGGTCCCAGCTGCAACCACTGCAACCCTGGTAGTTCTCATGGAAATGCCAAGTATCGGCACTGGTACTTGAAAAGTATCTGTGCATCCCTACATTTGTATTGAGATTGTATTCGATCACAGGAGCGAGCTTGGAGCGGTGACTACTTTGCAACACACTCAGGGACCATGGGGAACAAAAGTAGCCAACCTCCAGAAGGAAGGACAGTGTCAGAATGAATTCAGAGATGATTTGAGGATCTACAGCCGACTGATACACAAATAAGATACATTTTTGTTAATAGTTGAGGTGCTTGGATGCATTTAAGATTTACCTTCTGAGTCTAGTATCTAAACCAAAAATTTTGAAGTCTTGGATTTTTTTTTTCTGTCTATGTATTTATTAGGGAGATGTACACTCTCTATTTGGCCTAATACGCATTGTCACTAGGACTGAACGTGATGGTAAAATAAAATTTGAGTTGTCACTAGAGTATCAATAGAGGTAAAATTCTCCAATGGGGACACTTGTTCCAGTGACAACTGTCTTACAGGGCATTTTTCTCCTCACTTTGCAGAGATTTTCTCTCACTTTCTGTTGTGTTTCCCCAATGGGGCAAAATACGTGATAGGGCTTTTAACCGTTCCCTTCTATCTAAGACTAAAAAAGTTGAATTTAGATGTATTTTAAATTAGACCTATCATCCAATATTTGCAGCATAATAAGTAATGTGTAAGGGCAACACTTCTTCTTGTTGTTTATTAGCTCTTGCAGAGATTAGCTTATTCCTGATAATCTTTCCAGAAGCAAAGTGCCATCTTTGTTAGCCTTAGTTAGTTTCTATGTAGTACCTCAAGCCTGAGTAATGCTCAGAGTTCCACAAAGAGGTTGGATCTTCAGAATGATAGGAATCTGTGAACCTGGAAGACCTCTGCTATGAGTGTTCGCTTTTTAGTGGTCATGCTGACCCCCTGGTATCATGCTATTTGTGTCACTGACCTGGAACAAAGAGACTCTGTAGAAGTTCCAACTTTATAAGCTGCCTACCTGTTCCAGCTTAGTGACTCCTGAATAGTAAAGCCAAGGTGAAAGCAAAACCTCAAGAAAAAAGAGTTGCAATGACAATTAAGGCATTTATCCAATGACAAGTTAATTTTAACAGCAATTTATGGGCATTGGCCATGCTTTCAACACATTTGACACTTTTCTGGTAGTAGTATTATTTGACTAAGCCTGACTGACTAAAATAGAGGTCATTGTAATAGCGTTAGTTCTGGCATTTCATACAGAGGTGAGGAAAGACTAAATTTTATAACTCCGTATAAATCTTCTACTTCACTATAGTGAATATACAATGCAATATTAATTAAACTTTTGTATCAGTGTTTGATTTTTTTTTTTTATGTTGCTTGACAAGTTTACTATCAGTATAAGTTGCTTTCTTGGTGGATAACTCAAGTGATTTGCAATAACCCTATATAATGACTTTAATGTATTCAGCAAAAAAAGTGTGTTAACTATTTGAATAACATGCAATCCATGGGTCTTCTACATTTCTAATTTTTCATGTTTTTACCTTTTCTTTTACAGTTCCATCAGGTGAGAAGAGTAATGACCATCCTTTTCCTTACTATGGTTATTTCATACTTCAGTTGCATGAAAGCTGCCCCCATGAAAGAAGCCAGTGTCAGAGGACAAAGTGGCCTGGCCTATCCAGGTCTTCGGACCCACGGTACTCTGGAGAACATAGGTGGGCCGATGAGTGGGTCAAGAGGAGGAGGACTCCCATCCCTGACGGATACCTTTGAGCATGTTATAGAGGAACTCCTAGAAGAGGAGCAGACCATAAGGCAGAGCGAGGAGAACAAGGACTCAGATATGTATTCATCCCGAGTTATGCTAAGCACTCAAGTGCCTTTGGAGCCCCCTTTGCTTTTTCTCCTTGAGGAGTACAAAAACTACCTGGATGCTGCAAACATGACCATGAGGGTGCGCCGCCACTCAGACCCTGCCCGAAGGGGGGAGCTGAGCGTGTGTGACAGTATTAGTGAATGGGTGACTGCGGCCGACAAGAAAACTGCAGTGGACATGACAGGGCAAACTGTTACTGTTCTTGAAAAAGTCCCAGTACCCAAGGGTCAACTGAAACAATATTTCTATGAGACCAAATGCAATCCTATGGGCTACATGAAGGATGGTTGCAGGGGCATCGACAAGAGGTACTGGAACTCGCAATGCCGAACTACCCAGTCTTACGTGCGCGCGCTCACCATGGATAGCAAAAAAAAAGTTGGCTGGCGCTTTATAAGGATAGACACTTCTTGCGTATGTACACTGACCATTAAAAGAGGAAGATAGTGAATTTATGTTGTATAGATTATATTGAGAAGAAAAATTATCTATTTGTATATATACATAACAGGGTAAATTATTCAGTAAAAAAAAAAAAATAATAATTTTATGGACTGCATGTATAAATGAAGTTTATACAGTACCGTGGTTCTACAAATCTATTTATTGAACATATTCATAACCTAAAGGAAAATAATGACCTCTGCGCACAAAGTTGCCTGTTTTCTGCTGGCAGGGCGCCGGGCTCCATTGCTGTGCAATGCTTCCTGAGCCCCCTCCAGCACTACATAGGTTAAGAGATAAGCCTGCATTACCTTCCTCAATAACATTGTGGTTTGTTGGTGTTGCCAAGAGTTGAAAACTTAAAAAAAAAAAGTTATAGACAAGCATGCATGCTGCTTCAGTTGTGAATTGATAACACTCTGTCTTCATCCAGGCAAAAGAGATATAAAAAAAAGAACCAAAACATTCCATTCACACTTTAGACAGTATCTTTATTCATGTTGGTATTATATCTGTTTACTGCTTTTAACTTCTCTGATAGCGTTGGAATTAAACAATGTCAAGGTGCTGTTGCTATAGCTCTACTGTTTAATTTTAAATTTTTTGTGTTTTTTTTTTTTAATTTTTCAATTCCTGAAAAAAGTTGCAAAGAGCTTGTCATGAGTACGTGTTCTAGCTAAAAAAAAAAAAAAACCAGACAAAATATTTAATTTTTTGTATGTTGTGAAGGTGTTTGCAAACTCGAATCAGACTACTGATCAAAAAAAAGAATAAAAAAAAAGTCAAGGCAATTAAAAAAAAAAAAAAAAAATCAATGTTCATGTTGAACGTTTTCGACCTGTATTGGACACGGAGTTGTATTTTTCGGATATGAATGAGGGCATGGTGCTTTCTCTTTCTTGCAGGCTTTTGTGTGCTATATGACAGCGTTGTATGCTATTCTGTATTTCATGCAAGACCGGTACATTTAAGAAGACTTATAGCAAAGGAAGTTGCAGATTGTATGATCTGGGAACTCGAATATCTACAAGGATTTCTAGACTACTGCTGGGTTCTGCTGACATTTGCAATACAAATGCTGCCTGGGAATTGTTGATCTAGGCGTCCTTGGCCCGTAACATTGTCCTCTTAATGCTAATCAGAAAACAAATCAGATATGTAGTAGTTACCAGGTTACTAGGGAAAGTGGCAATACATATGAATGTGGGCTAAAAGATATAAGCAAGAAGCATTAACAAAAATAAAATCTTAGATTATAGGTGACATTTCAAACTTTAAGATCTTTATTTTAAATACTACGTGACCCCTAAATCTCACAGGGGGGGGCAGCCATTTAAGGTTTCTACCAATAATTAGAAAATTGACTGGCTGCATATTGTCATCTCTTAATATGGCTTTCTCTTGTTTGCCTAGTCAACATAATTAAAGGGTCTGGTACGCAAATTATACATACACAATGGATTTTAATTCCAACATTAACTATCACTGATGCACAAGTTTAATTTTTTTTTTATATTAACCTAAAGTAGATTTTCAAATTCTTCTAATATATTTTTGCACTATTCCCCTCTATACTAGTGCAAAAGCACTCATTGGCTTATAGTCTATAAAAATTCTAAAACAATATCAAAGCTTACCAGAATGCAAGCTGTTCATCGTACAGTATGAAAAACAAATCTTAGATAACCATAAAAAGCATTGCATGACATGTCCCTTGAAAAACAAACATTAAAGGGGGTCTTCCACTCAAAATAAAAAGTGAAAACTCTGCTTCAGGCCACACTGTGTAGTAAGGTGGAAGGGTCATCCTTCCCATAGTGCCCTAGCAAACAATAGCTGGACCCTCATCCTTCTATTGTTTAGGTTGTCTCAGGGAATGAGGTGAATCCATTTAGATGTAAGTGCTTAATACACACAAGGTGCAAGTCCAGTTTTAACCTGCAGTGGCACTGCATTTAAACTGTGAGGCAGCTGGTGGTGGTCACAGTAGAGCAGGGGGGGCTGTGTAAGGGGAAAATAAACACCTAAATTCAATGCTGTTAATAAAAAAATCTGCTTTAATTGTTTTATATATTTGATCTACTGCCTGACAATTGGGCAGATAATATCAACAACATCTCAAATTTTATCAGACATAAACTACTCTGTGTCAACTCGATAAAATATTATTGGGCAAAGATACACTTACTGTACTCTTTGCCATGAATGATAACCTATTCTTAATTACTATATTTCCAAAATCCCCCCAGCTCTAAACATGATTATGGACAAATCACAGTTTTTATGTAATATTAAACCATTTCCATGTTTGTGCCATAGTATAGAGAATTAACTTGGTACCAAAGTAACATGTTACAGCTCAAAGAGTTAACATGTGCCTGTTTCCCAACCATACACCAGCAAAAGTGCAAGTAAATGATAACTTCAGCTGCATCAGCCTTCCGAAAAACTCTTCATACTTGCCTTTTGACAGGACCTGACTTGGATCATCGCTTTTATGGCTGTCAAAGACTCAGCACTGGCTGTTGTTTTTCCCTGTGGCAGCTACATCACTACTCTGTCCTATAGTGACACGGGGCCAGGAGATGCAACCACAGCATGCACTGTGATGGTGGAGGTGTTGGGTGTGAAGATTGTCTTGAAGGCTACAGCTTTTCAGCAAAGTGGTGATCTGAGTTAGCACCCAGCAGAAAGGACAGTATGAACAGTCTTCTGTTCCTAAGAATGGTATTAATATTTGCTGCATTTTCATTAAACATAGGCAAAAACAAAGCAAGAATAGTTAAGATTTATTTGACTAGAATCTATTAATCCTACTTGTAGAACGTAGTATTTCCTTTCATAGAAAAAAAAGCATCATACATGAACAGACTTCCATTTTTACAGGCGTACACTTCCTGTTTGCAGGAATATCTTTCCACTTAACAAGGTCAATTCCTGTTTACAGAGACACACTTCTGTTTATATGACCAAAACTTCTTGTTTACATGTTTACTTCCTGATTGTAGGAACTATCTTCCAGTTTACATGACCATACTTCCAGTTTACATGTACATTTCCTGCATACAGGAGCAACCTTCCCGTTTACATGCTGTATAGCAATATTGCACTCATATTCAGCACGGAGCAAACAATGTCATTTTACAAGCATTGGAATCTTTCAAAGGAATTATACCAGACTCCTTAAATAACTGCACTGGGTAATATCATGTATAGTTTAAACTTTTTGGACCTCTTCATAGTATAATTATTTTTTTACTCATTTCGAATTCGGTGACTAGTTGTCCACAAGTGGGGGAAAAAGTGGATCTGAAATGTGCTTTGTTACCTAATTTTACTTGGTAACAAGCAGTGTCTGATGAAAGCCATGAGGTTTGACAGTTTCTAAAGACTTATGAAAATAGCAAAGAATAATTAGGGGTCCACATATTATGTACTGTCTTATCCAATAAAGATTTCATGGAGCATCGTCCTAATTCTTAAGAACAGTAACCAATAGCAGCCAATAAGAATTCACAAGATGGTATCTATGGGTTACCAATCTTTAGAATTACCTATTTGTTCATTCAAATCTATATTGAATAAGGCATTTAGGACTTGTTTACACAGGCTTCAGCTTATATTATATAAGAGCAGTATGTACAGCATGCTTTGGGAAAATATTTGAAAACATTTCAGCAAGCTTCAAGCAGCTTTGATGAAGCTTTTGAAGAAAACGTCAGGTCCAGGAGGGGGTGTTAAATATAGATCTGAATGGGAGTGCATTCAAGAATCTTCAGCTAGTGCTCCAGTCTACTGATACCTGCAGCTGGTTTAAAGCGTCATTTGGCACTTCCACTAAGATTTGGGCTTTACCTCCACAAACTGGAGCTAAGGATGCTTTTGAAGGCTTTGATAGACCTTGCTTTAAGCTTGCTGAAAACTGCTCCTCTTTTACAGCCTGAGTCCTAACCTGAATGAGCAGGGTTCCTGGAGGCCAGATGTTGGTTATGAAGAAAATGCTGGAGAAAGTCTCTTCTTGTCCATTGCAGCCAATCAGATTGAAAGTATAATTTAGTTTTTTCTGCTCAGGTTAGAAATGAAAGGGATTCTCTCAATGGTTGCTATGGGTAACTGAGAAACTTGGCTTTCTTCTACTTTTATATGACCAGCACCATTATTTGAAGAGGAGGGAGATACCACAGACAAGCCTTAAAAAGCCAGTCCTGGCCCAAGATCAATTCAGCCTGCCATGGCATGTGGCAAATATTGGTATAAACAAATGCTAGTGAACATTGGAGTATGTAAAATCAACAGCAATTTGAAGGCTTAAGATCCATAGCCGTAACTCGAGGTCTTTCTTCTTTTAGCATCCTTTGCACAGGATCCTGATGGATTGCAGCATAGGGATATCTCAAGCCTTCAACTGTATCCTTGTAAGAATCCACTTTCTAAATGGGGCGCCAAAGTTGCTGGAAGCACATCCAAAGAATGGGGTTATACTCAAACTGTCCTGCTACTTAAGAATCTTGCTATGCATCCTGGGACTGCGGTAAAAAAATATTAAAAACTTGACAAAAAAAAAAGGTAACATAACAAGCACACTTGGAGTTCCCCACTCATGTCGATGCGTGTTTGTGTATACATATTTATGTTAGTAAATATATATATATTTATATATACACTCCCAGACTGTAAATATTTGTATGTATGAATATGTATATACATGTACATATGTGGATACATATAAAATTGTATATTGATATATGCTATGGATAAGTTCAGAATTCAGTAGCCTTGGAAGATTTTAGAAATTTAAATTTTAGTTCTAAAATTTAAATTTAGATTTTTAGAACTAAATTCCAGCACAAAAATGTTACCTCTTTTAATCCAGATTCTAAAATGATCTGCAGTGAGGATGATATCCAGGTCTAAGCTACAGTTTCTTGATTCTGCAATTGGCTGCTGTTGTTAATATAACTGAATGATAAAATGCATCTCGCATAGGAGATTTTTAAAATTATTTTTATTAGGATTTTCAAAATAAATACAATAGAAAATTGTAACACAAGCACAATTTACAAAAACATGTTTGGTATACATACTCCTTCTGCCATGGATAGGTCATGTCAGCAATTATGCAATCGAGTGGAACCATGGAAAGTGTTCAAGATAAATTGCCATTATATTCTAAAATTTGCCAGTCGATCATTTGGTAAATTTAGGAAATCTTTTGCAATTTTCTCTATTTCTTGTGTATTTCGGAAACTTTGGAATTTAAGTGATACCCTTTATTGGCTAACCTATGTTATTGGAGATGCAAGCTTTTGGGATGACTTGGATCCTTTCCACAGGCTTTATACAGGCTTTATCTCTGAAGAATGCATCATCCT